TCCTGTTGGGAGGCTGCTCGCAGGCTGACGGGGGGTGACACTGACTCCTCTCGTAGCACATTAGTCTCTCAATCTAACAATCTTTCATGCTTTCTTTCCTTTTTTTCCACAGAAACATGAGCAAACAAGCGTGCAGTGCTACTATATCCGTCCGTGGCCCATATAAGGAGCTATAGGAGTGGAGGCTCTCTTCTGCTACATGAGGATATGTGTATGGAGACTACAGCTGCATATTTAATTGATATTTCACAGAAATGTGACTAGTGTAATATCTAAATCACGGTACGTGGAATATTTGGATAAAGGTGTAATTTTAGAAAACACCTAAATAAGGTATTGAGTTGTTGAAGACAAACAATATTCTACAGACTTCGGAAAAATACTTGTTTTTACATTATATTGCATTTAGCTGACGCTTTTATCCAAAGCGACTTACAATAAGTACATTCGACCAAGAAGATACAAACTAGAAGAAAACAGAATCATATAAGTACATCATGTTTCATAGAGCCAAACATTTCAAGTGCTACTCAACTGGCTTTAGATAAGCCAGTCCTTTATAAGTATATAAGTGCTCTGTTAGTATATAAGTATATAAGTGCTCTGTTAGCAGTTCTTTGTTAGTAATTCTATCGCTGGAAGTGGAGTCGAAAGAGATGAGTTTTCAGTCTGCGCCGGAAGATGTGTAAGCTATCTGCTCTCCTGATTTCAATGGGGAGCTCATTCCACCATCTTGGAGCCAGGATAGCAAACCCACGTGTTTTTGCTGATGGGAACTTGGGTCCCCCTCGCAGCGAGGGTGCAGCGAGTCGTTTGGCTGATGCAGAGCGGAGAGCACATGCTGGGGTGTACGGTTTAACCATGTCCTGGATGTAGGAAGGGCCAGATCCATTCGCAGCATGGTACGCAAGTACCATTGTCTCAAAGTGGATTCTAGCAGTTACCGGAAGCCAGTGAAGGGAGCGGAGGAGTGGAGTGGTGTGGGAGAATCTGTTTGTTACAGATCCTCTTGTAAAAATATATACCATGATGATATAATTTGACAAAATGAGAATGTGAAAAACATAGATACAAAATGTTTACCGCAAATGAGCTTTCATTCAACATAATCCCTGTAGCTGCAAAATGAAAAACAGATAAATACTAAAAACTCAAACTCAAAAATATGACTGCGGCTGAGGCACCAGGGAGCAAATGGTATGCAGTTAATAAGTAATACAAACATTTATTTGCAGGCAATAATTATGTTGTATATTTAAATACTTTCAAAAAGGTATAAACTGGTTTCACCTATCTTGATCTGTGGATTTCCATAAAATGGTAAAAAAAAAGATAATATTTCCGTATAAAAGCATAAACAACTATTTCATTAACTTACTATCACTTAATAATGATACATTTACTAGAAACAAACAGCAAGAAAATCATTGTATTAATAGCTCCAATGGCTTGTGCAGCTCTAATGGAGACCGTATAGGAGTCAGGTGAGATAAAAGACCTCCTGTAGTCCAATTTCCTGTCTTATATTAGCTTCCTTTGTCATTCTTGATCCGAGGGAAACACATACATGCTGATAGGTTAGCAAATCCTCACTACTGCTTGTAAAAACAGAGAAAAGGAAAGGGGACAATGAGGTCGGAATAGGAGAGTGATGAGTTTGAAATGGATAGAAGGAAGCGGGGTTAGAAAAATAGAGGCATTATAGAACTGGGTGGAAGTGGGAAAGGGAATGAGAGAAGACAGCGGGACAAAGAGAGGACAGATGAGCTCATTTTGTTCCCTTGCACCAGAGAACCAGCTCGCTCAGTTCCACACTGAACAATCACTAGTGTTCCCTTGTGAGAGTTTGACAGTGATGGTAATGCCTCATTAAAAATACGAAGAGAGGCAGAACTCGGCTCGGAGTTTTGAGAACAAAAGCTGCAGAACATCTTTTCAAAAGCAGCACCTCCATTATTTCATCTCCACAGATGGACACCTTGGCTTTAATCCAAGGTGCTGGGAGATATAGCTGTTACTTGTGCATGCATGGGAACACCATCAAAACATTTCAAAAACAGTGCGATCACAGGTCCGGAGAACTAACTGACGTCATTAAGCCAGGTCAACTGTTTGCCAAGTGGATGAATTGCTGAGGAAATCAGGAGAGGTTATCAGAAACTGGCAATTATCAAAGCCTGAAGCAAAACACCATCTCAGGGGCAGCGCTGTGGACGCGAGGGCTAACATAGATCTGTTGAGTTTAGACTCTGAGACCAGAGAAGGCGGGACTGATAGAAATGATAAGAGGCAACTTTATAAGCTGGGCACTTCATATTTCAAATATAAATGAAGTCACTATTACTAACCTCAAATGTTTTCTTAAAAAGGAATAATTCACTCTCAAAATAACGATATTATACATAAATGACTCATCATTAGGGATGGGTATCGTTTGAAATGTATCGATTTCGATTCCGGTTCTGCTTATCGATTCCGGTTGTTATCGATTCCCCGTTTCGATTCCAAAATTGTAAAAGAAAGAGGTCAAACGTTTAGATAACAAACATATCTTTATTCTTTTAAGCTTTACAGTAACTGACATTTTACAAATAAAAAATATACATGCAATACAAATGGATTGCACAATAGCTGTGCTTTATTTTAACTGAGCTATGCCTGTGGCCAGCTATTAACAGGCATTACACTGTGCCTTGTCTTTTTCTTCTTTAGTGGAGCCTCACTTCAGAGCGTTTACCGCGATCCATCTTTGGTGTTATGAAGTGACTGAGCTTGTGAACTGTCTACGGGAGGGCGGGGGGAGCCTCGCTGCGGGGCAACTGTGGACCGCAACTTACATGATGCCGTTTAAAAAAATTAAGGGCGGTGCCGGCCGTTAGCGTACCGAGCCGTTCTGTGATTCTCCAGAACACACAGATGGCCAGTCCGCCCTTACCCTGTATTCCACCGGGTCACTGCGGCGCAGACGGACCCGGTGGAATACAGGGTCTACCGCGTTTAGGAACCGTTAAGCAGAACCGAAAGTGTATTTTTTGTATGGGGCATTTTCTTATCGGTTCTCATCTGGAACCGAGTTTCGGTTCCCAACCCTACTCATCATACACACTTTTAACTCCTAAAGGAACGTTATGGAAAAGTCTTAAAAAAAGCATGACTACATCAAGAAAGGTTATGCGTGCTACACACTTTTCTGAGGATTGTTAAAGAACATGGCAAGTGTTTTAAATAGCAACATTTATAACAAAAATGCATTGTTTAGGCAGTAGTGAGCAAACGAGTGGATTTATAAGATAATACTGTACTTATGAGCGTTGAAAAAACAGATGCTCTGATTTAGTTTAGCTGTTGTTACATTACATTACACTGCATTGCATTTAGCTGACGCTTTACAATAAGTGCATTCGACCAGGAAGACACAACCTTGAAGAAAACAGAATCATATAAGTACATCAGGTTTCATAGAGCCAAACATTTCAAGTGCTACTCAACTGGCTGTAGATAAGCCAGTCCTTTATTAGTATATAAGTGCTCTGTTAGTATATAAGTGCTCTGTTAGTATATAAGTATATAAGTGCTCTGTTAGCAGTTCTTTGTTAGTAATTCTATCGCTCGAAGTGGAGTCGAAAGAGATGAGTTTTCAGTCTGCCCCGGAAGATGTGCAGGCTTTCTGCTCTCCTGATGTCAATGGGGAGCTCATTCCACCATCTTGGAGCCAGGACAGCAAACCCACGTGTTTCTGCTGATGGGAACTTGGGTCCCCCTCACAGTGCGGGTGCAGCGAGCTGTTTGGCTGATGCAGAGCGTAGTGCACGTGCTGGGGTGTACAGTTTAACCATGTCCTGGATGTAGGAAGGGCCAGATCCATTCGCAGCATGGTAAGCAAGTACCAGTGTCTTGAAGTGGATTCTAGCAGTTACCGGAAGCCAGTGAAGGGAGCGGAGGAGCGGAGTGGTGTGGGAAAACTTTGGAAGGTTGAAGACCAGTTGTTAAACATTCCTCCCAATTACAAAACCTGTATCTGTTTTTAGATTACATGGAGGAATTCACGGATAAAAAATGCTTCACAAATTCAAGTAACAAGGCGAATTACTGATTACAAATGTTGCGGGTGACGTGTTCCTGTCAGCTTACTCTTTCATTACATTCAGTAGAATGAAAAACCTAAAAAAAGGCCAACAGCTGTTTGAGCTGAAGAAAAATCATCTATTTTAATAGATTGTATGAATCCTTACTTGTAAAAATGTTTATTTGACCTTATATCTTGGGTAAGTCTAAGGTACCTAATGGCACCATACCCCTTGCTATAAAACAGCATATGGCATATGTTTATTACCAAGAGGAAAGCACAAGCAGTTTGCTGCTGTGCTTGCACTCTGCACGCTTTATTAGAGATGCTTCAGGTGACTAACTTTCCTTGTTGACAAAGGTTTGTGACTTGATAAGCTGTTTTGTTGCGATCTGCATATATCAGGTTTTTATTTCCAAGCCCTTATGGCAATGCAAATACATTCATAATTCAGCATACACACTCTAGCAACAACTCTCCTAATAATCAAATGTGCCATGGCATGAAACGACAGAGGACATGAGATTCCTCCCGTATTACAAAAAACCGACAGAGGGAAAACACATTACAAGTGACAGATTGGAGAGTCAGGATTCACTTGTTTTCACGAAAAAAACAACACGCAAATGTCAACAGCGACCTGAATAACCAGCTGTCAGGCAGAGAGAGAGAGGTACCAAAAAAGACAATAAATCCAGCACACACCGGCACACACACACCGGCACACACACACACACACCGACACACCGACACACACACACACACACACACACACACACACACACACACACACACACACACCGACACACCGACACACACACACACACACACACACACACATACACACACACACACACACACACACACACACACACACACACACACACACACACACACACACACACACACACACACACACACACACACACCGTACCTGTCATTGTCAACGCTCCTGAAGCCAGGCAGGATGTGTCTGAAGCTGGAGTTTCGGTCCAGTTTGGGTTGACTCTTGGTGCGTTTTATGGAGCCCTTCAGCCGGCGACTGAGGAAGCCCTGATGGAGAGAGACACATACAGTCAATAAAGCGAGTCTCTGCTACTTTTTGAGGTACATCTCAGAGATGCCAATCATCAAGATCATGAGTGAGACAGGACTTATGAATACTGACATTGTGATCCATGTCCTAAATCCAGGGTGTCATGAATAGTAAATGAGTAATAAATGAGTATAGATCTTCACATCAGGGTGATGTTTACAGCCCGGAGGACATTGTCTAACACAATTTATTCCCTAAATACAAAGAGAGAATGCAAACACATTCAATAAGGTCTTGACAAAAGAGTGGTGTAGTGGTGATGCATTTTTCTAAGATGACCCCTAAAGTTGGCATGCCAAGGTTTCCTTGAAAATAAATTAAAAGGAAGTTTGGAGAAAATAAGATCCTTGGTGAACACACGTTACAGGTTTTGTTCACCAGGATAATCTCCTCATATGTACACTACTTTAGGAGTTTTTCAGCATAAATGCAATCCCTGGAATTAAAGAGATAACGTAACGCTATAGACAAACTACATCACGGTCACATGTATTCACATCACGACCGCTAAGCTAAAGGCGGCAAACGTTCAGCTTGATGATGTTTTGTAGTCTAATTTAATCCCCTATTAGCAACCAGCAATTTTATGAAACCTAAAAGCTTTAGACATTTCGCAACGTGTGTTCGCTGACGTATTTTACACGTAGAAAGAAACTTGAAAATTGGGTTAACTAGAACAAACCACAAGCCTTATTTCAGGCATTTAACCAAAAACTCACTCAAAAAAAACATTGACTTAGAGACGCGGGAGCCTGGAAGTGCTAAAATGCTGACTCATTTCCCGGTATAGGACTTATTCCTGCACCGCTCAATAGAAGATTCCCAAAGAGCATACACATAATTAGCTGATAGGTAATATTTATGCAGAAATTAAGGATTGTTTCCCACTGCGGTAATTATGTCAACATTTAACAAATTACAGCGCTCAAACATCTGTGTTTTTATACCAGATACACCCCTTTATTTGTTGTTTTGTCATTCCTTTCTCTGTCTGGGTGTTTACTTCTTCTAACATCTGCAATCACACTCCCCCAAGCACCTCGCCGTCTCCATGGCAACTGTGGCTGGCATTAAGAGCGAGGGAATAAGAACGAATGAGATGTCGTGTAGAAACGGCAGGCTGTGGCGAGTTTTTAGATAGAAAAAGATTAGAACATTTGATTTTTTTTCTGCTTTATTTTCAAATAATTCACTGCTGAGAAAGAGCTCAGGAGGATGAAGAGGATGAACGAAGGTCTTTGAATGAAGAGGGTGAAGAAAAGAGTTGATGGAGTAGCTTCAGCACAAAGAAATCTACAACTCAGCATGCTAGAGAAATAACTAAACTAGAAAGCATTTAGGCTCAGGTGTAGCTTTTTTTGATTAAAATAACACAACGAAGCAGCGTCGACAGTCTGAACACATTCATAATATAACCTCAGAGACATAGCTGCAGCACTGAGACCTCTAATGGCACACACACCTCACAAGGAGGGCTGGAACACACACAGTGATCAGACCTCCCTCAGTCCCAGTCATGCCATTAACACACCTGTATAATTACCACCTACAGTGTGAAGAGGTCGCCCAGGGCAACAGTGGTAAAGGCATAATGAGAGAGTGACTTGTAGACAGCCTGCCTGCTGATAACAGAGCAGCCACTGCATCCTGATAAACAACACCTGTCATCAGTGAAACACTCTGGGAGAGGAACAAAGAGTCGCTGATGTCAGAATACAGGCGTCGTCAATCATGGGAGGGTCTCTGCTGCGTCAGTGACAATTCTGTGTTCAGACATAACTATTTCAAAAGTGTTTAGTGTGTTCAAACTGGACAACTGATCATATTGAATACATTTAAATGTACACAATGTTATATTTCAAGTTAGCTGTTTTCATGTATAATAAAAATGTATATTACATATTTGATGCCTTTAAATGCAGTCTTTCATATACACATTCGAGAACATTGAGAGGCACTTTTTTGTGTCAGATGCAAAACAGCTACAGCGTAGTTTTGTCAGGCTCCTCTAACAATGCAATATACAATAGACTTAAGGAAAGGAACAATATATAAAAGTGCAGTAAAATACAGAGTAAAACATATGTTTTTTTAAGTTTTAACATGTTGGCAGGCATGTTTCCACTGTGCAACAGTCACCTTCTGTCATTCCCCTATAAGGGACATTTAACGTTGTGCCTCTTCACCTATAGATTTTAGTTCTTACTCTTTCACTTAAATCCTAAAAACTTAGATCTTACATTTAAAACTTTATCCAAAACCTTTCCCCTCTCTGACCTCTCGAGGTTCTAATAGAGGGTAACAGGTTGCAGAGAGGCCTATCCCGGCCGGGGAGTGTGGAACGTAGTCACAGACCTTCTCCTTACCTCTCACCAATTCCAATTCAGGTTCCAGTGGGGACCTTTCTCCCTGCGTGTGCCTCTCCACCTGTTTCCTACTTCCTACTTGCTACCCCTTATCCCTCAACCTATCCTAAGGGAGTGCATGTACGTAGACTAGGGATGTTAAGATTCACCGATTCGCATCGGTGCACCGGCATAAACGTTCAAGATGCGAGTGCACCGGTTGAAAGAGTGCACATCGGCTACAGTTTGGGTTGAACTTGCGATGCATCGATTATAGCGTCTTTGCATCGGTAAAAAAACGATTCATTCATATAATATCCCTTCATCCTGTCAGCACTCTGCAGAGACGATCTTTGATCTTTGCTTCGCACTACGGAGGCTGAGAGTCTCAGTTATCAACACACATGAAGTCGAGGAGAAAGAGAAACACAGCGCACCGAAAAATACCTACAAATCAAACGTTTGGCAACACTTTTTCAAGAAAGACGGTCAACTTGAAAAATCGCTCGCAAATTGTAAACGACGCCGTGCCGCTTTAAAGTACACAAGTAGTACGAGGAACTTAGCGACGCACATAAAGAGGCGACATGGGGTCTGCGGCTGAAAAGAGAAACCTGAAAGTTAGACAGAGTGAAATCACTCAGTGAGGTGTTCTGTCAGAGAGAGTGGTGTTTAGTTTACAGCAGCCTGTGACTGCCAATAATAGTTTGAATGTCTTCCTCACTGTAAGCAGTTATGAAATACCTGTTTGTGAAAGGTTCTTTGTATTCTTTATTGTTCCCATAGAAACCACTGCTTTCTGCTCACTGGTGAGTTAGCCTATGGATGAGTGTTAAGCACATCAGGCTGGCAGCTGTATGGGCATTGCTCTATGGTAGCTGTTATTTGTACATTGTTAATCATGAGCAATGCATCCTTACATTGTTTAACTGTGAGGTGTTATACAATTGTACTCTGGAGAGCTTTTAAAGGTAACAAAGAAACGGCATGATGGGATGCGCAGTACTAGTAGAGAGCACCAAATATGTAAAGCACTTTTTTGTTAATTTATTTGCTGCATATAAGGAATAAAACAAAAATCCTCTGTCGTACCATATGGAAGTATCATTATTTTGCATCGTATCGCATAATGTTGAATCAAATCGTATCGAACTGTATCGCAACAGGGGTGAATCGTATCGTATCGCGTGGCGTTTCAAATGTATCGTTAATGTATCATATCGTGGCAACGTATCGAGATGCGCTTCGCATCGGCCTCAGTGATGCAGATGCACATCCCTAACGTAGACACGTTAGTTTAGCTGCTATAAGCTTGGACTGTTGGGGGGGGGAGGGACCTTACTCCGTCTTTCTGGCTGTTTGTACCTGTGTACTCTCATGTTCCGATTAACCCAGTTTCCCCCAAATTAATTTTTGGTGTCTATATCTACGCCGGGATCCTGAGTCGAGGCTGATCCTGTTGCTGTGGTCCTGTGTCCTGGATCCTCTATCCTGAGTTCTGGATCTGAGTCCTGGACTTCGAGTCGTGGCTGAACCTGTCTCTGCGGTCCTGCCTGACTCTCACCATACTACTTCACTGATGGCTCCCACAAGATTGTTGACATCCTCGTGGATTCATCTTCTTATTATACTGTAGACACATGCATTTCCAAACATTTGGTCTTTCCAAACATTTGCTCTACCTACGCTGTAAAATGTATTATCTCTTCAATTTACACACGGCATCTATTGCACGTCTGTCCGTCCTGGGAGAGGGATCCCTCCTCTGTTGCTCTCCCTGAGGTTTCTCCCATGTTCCCTTTAAACTGTGAGTTTTCTCCGGAAGTTTTTCCTTGTACGATGTGAGGGTCTAAGGACAGAGGGTGTCGTATTGTCATACTGATATTCTGTACAAACTGTGAAGTCCACTGAGACAAATGTAACATTTGTGATATTGGGCTATATAAATAAACATTGATTGATTGATTAGCACAAATCCATAAACCTGTATCAGGGTTCATACACTTTTTCACCAATAATTTTCAATGACTTTCCATGACCTTTACCAAATTTTCCATGACCAAAAACATGACTGTCTCAGCGGTTCCACTGAAAATGGTTTATTTGAACATGGAACAGGAAAATAAGGTCTGCATATGAAACATGTTGTGCTGTTTATGCTCACTGGAATTTTCATGGAAATGGAAATGTTTACTCCCAGCTGCTAAACATTCAAACTAGCTGCTGACGGTAGTGAAAAAGCTTGAGGAAAATCTTGGAAAACAAGCACTAATAAAAGGAGAGTTTCTACACAGAAGATAAGGAAGAACACTCAGCCGGTGGAAACAGTAGTTCTTCTGAGGCTCTGCAGGGAGCTTTCAAAAGTCTAACAAATACATCCGTTTCGGTTTAAAATCTTCACATTTATAACAGAAGGACTGCATTTAAATGTGGACATGGAGTTTGAAAGATGTTAGCATATCGAAGGCAAGGAACGTCTATAAAAAGATGCTACTGAGGTCAAAGTCTACCAATGTATTGGACTGCAAAAACTGTATAATAATAAGTTGACATTGAAGCATTAAAAAAAAGGCCAGAGCTAGTGTTGATGGATTTGTTAAATGTGTGGTAGT